TTATTGTTAATGTACAAACTGGATGCAATACTGTAGTGAAATGCTGAGAATTCCATTATGTATCACAAGTACTATTTTGGAATAAAGCAAATTATTATTATCATTATTATTACTCAAAATATATCCACTATTTCATGAAGGAGAAAAACACAAAGCTTTGTTCAGAGAAGAAAGTTTCTCTCACCAACAACTTCATTTTCAAATTGCTCAGTTGTATTATTTATATACGTAAAGGCAGTTATTAGTACTAAAAGAAGCTTCAGTATGAATGCGATAAAGTCCACTTGTGTATTGGTGAAGCACTGGTTATACATAAACAAAAACGGTCTGCAAGACCAGTTTTTAAAACTCTATTCTTTCTCTTGATCCTAAATAATGCTTTCTTCTGGTTAGTATAATTCTACTTCACTTAATCTTTTCTATTACTATTAAAGGGCGAAATTTGAAGGAAGGCACTTCTTTCCCTTATCCTTTTAACTATCGGAGAGACAAGACAGACCTTCACTACTCTGAAATCAGCGTGGAAATCTACCACATTAAGCATAAACAACAGGATTCGAATTCTCAATACTAATGTTAAGTAAATGTCTCTATGTGGTCCAAAGACTTGGCATGTCGTGAGAAGCATTACGAAACAGCCAGCTGCAAACTTTCATCAACAACTACCTTCACTCCATACTGAAGATCAGAGGGCCAGCCAGTAAAAATGAGCAACGAGAAACTCTGGGAACGAACAAGCTAAGAACCTATTGCCTAACAGATGTGCCGAAAGAGGTGAATGGAGATGAATGGGGCACATGCTCGGGGAGACCGTTTAGTGAAATCACGAGCCACACAGGCCTCGTCGGAGCCGAATGCGAAGCGTAGAAATGAGTGTCTGAGGGTGACATGCTAGAGATCCTGTGAAGAGGAGATAAGAGATTATGGGCAATCGTGGAACCAACTGAAGAGGACGTGATGATATGAAGGTTTTTTGTTGAAGCCTTATGTTCCACTTGGAACCTAATGGAGTAAGTAATAAACATAATTCAAATTTTCTGAAAACACGACGCACTTTGTGCCTTCTAATACCAACTTTTCTGTTTTTCATTTGCTTTAACCTCGCTCTCCTTTTAACGCCTATGTTCACTTGGATCACATGGGTATCGACTGAAGATGTTTTGTGCCAGTAAATACGACTGTACAGGTAAAAAACGAGGTTGGTGAAAACAAATATTTGATCGCTGAATAAAGGTTTTCCCTCATTAATGAAAACTTGGAAGGACTTTCAAGGCACAATGATGTGCGTCAAGTAAACTGTTATCCTCTCCAAGATCCCGGATGTAACATAAGGTACATATGCTTTCTGTATCTTTCATCATTTAGGAGCTCTTATAACAGTGTTTGAATTTAAAAGAAGTGCTGAGCAAGCTACATATTGACAGACAGGTGATGCTAATGGGGGATCTAATATCATTTGTGCGTCGGTGGCATAGCGGTTAAGACGCTCGCCGACCATGCATACGGTCTAGGGTTCGATGTCCAGCCGACGCACTCCTTTTCCTCGCCAAACAAGTAATAAAAAGCCGGTAAAAAGGAAAGATTGGGCATGAGGCTAGAAACCCCATCCTGTAAAATAAACACTGCTACAGAAACTTCAAGCCACTAGCTTGAAGCCCTATGTTCCACTGGGGAACGTGAAGGAATAAAAAAAATATTTAATACAGGTTTAGGTGTCACGTCGCACTTTTGAGAATGAAGTCATAACAAACAGCAAGATAAAAAATCATAGTTATAGATTACCATAAAACGAAAGGATATATACAGATTAACTGAAAACAATGCACAGATATGTACCGCTTCAAGAGAGCGCCAAAGATGAAGCAAAGAAGTAAAGTGACAACAACACTAATAGAATAAATAAAACCATGTGAAAAAATGATTAAACGAAACAGACAAGAATACTTAAGCTTTCGAAAATGGTAATGTGTGAACATTTGCATCATTAACTATTCTGAACTATTTCACGCAATTTACAAGCATCCATTCTTAACATCCCTATGACTTTACCCAAAAAATCTACATCTCCAATACTAAGTCACAAACTTCAAATATTTGTCTGACTACTAGTCTTTGTTCAGTCTAATCCTGCCCCAGCTAACACTACCTCGGAGGAGATTACTGTGTAGCACATCATTTGTCTAGCTCGAGTTAATGCCAGTTGGCAAGTCCTAGAACAGGTCTCTGTATGCATACTGAGATCTCATCATCACGTGTTTTATTACTTGTTCGAATTCGAAAATCATTAAAGCGGTCAGTGAATTACATTATTTTACACTCCATCATTAAAATAGGAAGCAATGTATGCTATTTTGATAGCATCATTTTAGATATAATAGTGGCAGACTGCGATTCACACATTCAGATTTTATACAACAACAGAGTTAATTTTTCCATCCACTTCAGGATTATATCACAGAGGAATAACGAAGAAACGTAATATTATGATTAGTAGAATGTATATGCACCAATGAGTTTGATTTCAAGCCATATTATTTACCCACCACGGGCTTTCTAGTCATGCATACATCACTTAAGAATCTATTTTACGCGCACCTCAAACTAACATTCAGTTAATTCATAGATCGGTGATATGCTTTCATCTGGTTATCTTCCTCTCTCAAACGTATAACCACTACCACGACATATCACATTAGGGTAAATGATGTTTAAGTATAAGTAACACATATATTAAGCATCAAAAAGTCGGGGCTTGTAATTTAGATAACTGAATAACATCTCTTTTTCAAGAGCATACTGCCAAAAGCTATTGAAGACTAATGAACTGAAACATATAGCAAACTCCTGTTGGGGGAGTGTAGCAAAATTTATTATTTATTTCTCAGCCAGAAGTCACTATCATGTGATAAGCCTTCAGTTAACATGAGCCATGATCACTTCCTACTCCAGGCTCAACTTTGTCATATGTACTGTATTTTCCTTTTCAATTTAGAAAGGGTATTCAGCTGAGAAACGGTCCAACCGATTAGATTACGCAAAAATCATAATTAAAATATGTGACAGCTTGAAATAAATCATTTGCATGAGAATTTCTACCCTGAAAATGGAAGTACCTATAAGTGAGTAACCGGGATTACTTTTCAGGCATAATACGATTTCAAACGACAGTTTACGTAGTTAGGACCCAATTACCTAGAACAATTTTTCGTGAACCAAGCTGAGTCCCAAACATTTTGAAGGCTAACAATACTACTCAGCTGCACAAGATGAAATGTGGCTGCATTTCGAACTCTGAACCCATTAGCTGGAAGCTGATTCCGATCATGGGAACAACAATTTATGTAAGTGTAAAAATTGTGATTGTTTCACATACACTGAGAGTTTTCTCAACCTTGTAAGATTGGTCATTAAAAAGGCTTTTACAGCAGGGTGGAAGGTTACCCATTAGCAATAGTAATCTATACCTCTCGCTAACCAGAAAAAAGTGAGGGTACTTCATAGCAGCTTTCTCGGTCATTCCAGTGGTGAGAAACGAACATAAAAGCCAACGCCAAGATATTAGAAATAATTCATCAAAAACATCGAATAAAGCTTGTATTTAGTAGAAATTCGCCGTAAAGTGAAGATGTTTCTCTACGTTAAATTCCTCTATGGTTCTGGAGCCAAGCTACTTGCATACGCTATTATTTATCTCACCTACACTTTCTCTGATGCGGAAGCTTGTACCAGTAGTATTTCATCAAACACGGATTAATAAACTTGAGAGAAAAGATGACGAAGTATGATGAGGTTATCAACAACATGGGCAATCCGATGATCATGAAACTCTGCTTCCACTTGTATTTGTTAACAATAATTCTGCCATACATAGGCAGCACTGATATTTCATGAATCATATCGAAACACAATAATCCCCTTTAAATTATTATCAGCATCTCAGTCCTGTTGAATATCAAATGTGTAGTGAAGAAAATAGCATAAGATCACACTGGCCAAAGTAGTCACATTAGGCATGGAAGCTTTAAATATCCAACACATAGCTTTACAGTGAGACTGCATTACGAAAATCGGTTACAAATATACGCATTTAAAACAATTTTAATTCACGTATACTTTATTCAGAACTTACCGTCTTGCGGCGGTTTGACCGCGTCAGTTTGGTTATACCGACCAGGGTGATAGTTTTAAATTTACAAAGTAAATTTCAGAAATAATATATAAATCCAAAGGCTTATGTTTATTCTAGTGTAAATGGAGCACAGATACTTCCTTTGTCTCTACATCTACTAAAATATTTTGAATTGAGCGGTAAATGTGGCATGACAATGATGTTTCAAGGTCATAACGCGCGATTTTGGTTGGTTAATTTAAGTATGATTTCTAAGACAGCCATTGGTTGGCACGTTATGTTTGTGCATAAGGCGATTTATGTCACACTAAAAGTAATGTTTTAATTTGGCCTTTGAGGCTAAAGAAAAAAATGTATTTTTAACTCATTGTTTCAAGCATGCTACAATCTCTATGTGTTTTACACACAGATATGTACTGCGCTTTTGACTCCACTCATCTTAAATAGAAAATGAAACTTCCAAATTCAGCTACATCAGATTTTATTATTTTCAATAGAATTCCATTCCAAAACCATTTCAAATTTTTCCCATATCAGAATCGCATCAACCCCTGCACCTTAGTAATAGTTCTGAATACTATATCTAAGTTTTTAGTAATGTGAAATAGCCACTACCATAATCAAAGCCTAATTTCCAATAGATTTTATGTCAGTGGGTTCAGACAATACATGCGAACGGGCAAGTTGAGATATGCTGTGAAATGGTGAACGATTAGATGACAAACTACAATCAGTACTGATAGGTATGTACTTGATTTAAACGGAAACTTCCTGATATTCTGTCTTTAGAGAAATTGATGTTATATGCCCATACAAAGGTAATATTATTCCACTAAATAGGAAAGAAGATTAAGATTTTCTATATTCTTACCTCATCTTCTCTACTCCAGTCAATATCTTCATCCGTATGTGGACCGACTGAGTCATTTAATAAATCTCCTGATACTGAAGGAGGTGGTGAACAACTTCGTGCCATTTTAAATGTTTGCGTTCCTAGACGTGGTCTTCGTTTAACTGCAGCTGACGCTGTACTACCAGTGGTGACTGACTCACGAACTGATCTACGTTTCTGGTAATGATAACGTTGCTGTGATCTTAGAATTGGAGCTTCATTGCCAGTTAAATTTCTCATTGAACCAATTCGATATCCGGTTAGGGTATCAACTACTTGATAACGTAGTCGTCTGAGTCTTAAGCAGACCTTGCTTTTTGCTAATTCAGAAAAAGATTTAAAAAAATTAGACAGCATGTATATAAATATTAAGATGGTAAGATGATAAGATTTAGGAATTATCAAAGTCTGACACAAAGATAATCATGTAATCAATGAATACATCAGTACTTACAACGAATCAGATCAACCACTTCCTCATGGTTCAGTTCGATAGCCATAACACCATTTACCTAAAATAAATACAACAAATAATAATATATGTGTAAAACTTGGGCACTGAGGTAGTAAGTAATTTCATATTAGTTTGATTATTAAATATATCACACAGTGAAGCAGTATTATTTACTGGATGACGAAGTTTCGGACAAAATTTATTGTTCATGATCATATCAGTTGTAATCACACGACTTTGAAACTTTGAGTTTTATAGTTTTCTTTGTCTTCTCCTATTTGTCGTCGTTGGGGTAGTAGAATTTTCCAGATATTTGGGACAATCACAGAGCACAAAAACTAAGTAGTACTAAGGAAAATCTAAGACAGGAGGTGATACACATAAAAGAACCCTTGAAACTTAATAATTACCCCGATAAATTAGTCAGAAATATGTGAGGAAATGTAAAAATAAAATAAATGATGATAGTAGCGATAGTGATAATAATAATAATGATAACAGTTATAATGACAATAATAATAATAGTGATAATAATAATATTAATGACGACACCAACAATAAGGAATATAAATCATCAGTAGTAATTCCATACAAGGAAGGAACCTTGGAAACCTTACGCAGAATTCTCAACAAGGCAGGAATAAAAGTGGCTGGCATTCAAACCACCCATAAACTCAATTAGAAACAAGCTTTGTCAGTTAAAGGATCATGTGAGCCTTTAATACAAAACAATTTAGTTTATCTAATTCCCTGCTTGCAATGATTGTCAGGTCAAATACATAGGTCAAAGTAGTAGAACAGGGTCAGTCAGACTAGCCGAACATAAGACTTAGCAAAATCTGGATTAGTTGAGCCGAATAAGATAAGAAATCTAGAGAATAGTTCAACTATATCACTCACTACATGCAATTACACACAACCATACATTATAGGATGATGGGATAAGATGACAGTTTTAAAATCTAATGTCACAGTAGGGTGGAGGGAGAGATTGATAACAGAAGCTTTGTTTATCGAATCAACTGGAAATACGTGTAACAGGAATGATTCAACACTTTTCCACTCAGATATCTGGAAAATTCTACTACCCCAACGACGACAAATAGGAGAAGACAAAGAAAACTATAAAACTCAGGTTTCAAAGTCGTGTGATTACAACTGATATGATTATGAACAATAAATTTTGTCCGAAACCTCGTCATCCAGTAAATAATACTGCTTCACTGTGTGATATATTTAATAATCAAACTAATATGGAATAACAACAAATAATATTAGCAAAACTGAATATATATATATATATATAAATCGTTATGTTTTTAATAATGAAGACTGAATAAGAAAAAAAAAGCGAAGATAACTTTGACTTGATATTCGATTGTTCTCGGTAATCAATCTGAAACTGTCATCCCTAACTCTGGAATATTTTTTGAATCATTTCTGCATGTACTAACAAATAGCATCATGTTATCCAGCTCTTTTCTCAAATTAGGATTCAACGAACACCCTTAACTATATGAATAACAAATAGGAATACCGCATACCATTTAACAGTTAAGATAACTACACAAATTGCTAAATTATCTATCGAAGCGGAGGAGACTAGTGTACAGCATGCTACTCTCATTGTTCTAGCTTATTTTGTATAAGATGGTTGGTATACTGCAAATTTGCTTCACACACACTTTACATTCAAGTGTTGGTTTGTAGGGATTTGATTGGTTTCAGGATTTCATCATGAGCTGACATTAGTTAGAGAACCATTGAAAACCAGGGAGTACTGGACAGCTGTTTCAT